CTGTTTCTGTAATACAATCAAGTAATGACTATAACGAGTATCTTACTCTTGGGATGTGTTCAATTCGATATCTCCTCCTAAACTTTACCTAGAAGTAATAAATAGATATAACATTTGAGTAGGCCTCCACATCAAACAATTCTTCGTAGCCAAGTAGTAATAGTACTCGCCTTCAAATCTGAAGACCGCTGGTTCGATTCCAAGCAGGGACGATTTTGGACCCACTTGTCATTTGTTTTTTTAGATATCATTTAAGAATGCTATAACAATGCTTGTAACAAAGGATGATGCTACGTAGTAACAAGACGGTTTGGACAGTTTCTTTAAAAGAAATTTCAAAATTGGAAAGGCATTAAGACATTGACAATATTCTTAACAAGTGCTTGTAAGCAAACCATTTTTACCAGAAATGTGATATAGTGATGGTTTAAAGTTAACAAAAATTTTTGATGTATTAAAGAAATGAGCATAATATTTTAAAGTATTTATCTGGATAAAATCATAGCTTTAGTAAATAACTGTTTTCTGTAAAATGAAGCATTAGGGCCTATTGCAAGAGCTTGAGAATCAATGGGAAATAGTGTTAGGTAATTAAATTGATGGATTTCAATGCTATTGCTCAATCAATTCTTTCTCATTTGATATAAATTTATAAAATTAAGTATAATTTGGAAAAAGACCGTTTACAGATTTTTATAAATTTTTATTGAGCATTTTTCTGGTTTCTTAACTAGGTTTTTGATTAAAAAAAAACAATGAATGGTTATATATTTTACTAAGGGTTCATTTAAGTTACTTAGTACTGTACTGTACTTCAAACAAAACTGTTCATATCAAAAGGGTGAAGACCTTTTGAACTTTCCATTAGTGAGATATTTACCAAAGATATAATGTACTCAGTTCAAAAGTAGAACTTCAAACAATACTATGGATTTTCCTATTTGGGTTTAACGTATTCCTCCAAAAGGCAACCCCGTATTTCATAAAGATGCTTTCGGGGAGGGCGAAATTGTATTGAATAAATCATCCCTCCTCTCAGCTTTCCTGCATTCCCCTCACTTTTCTGTCTCGTTATCTTTTATTATGACCAATTCCGCAAAGGTAATTAAATAATTTGGTTAAGTAGTAAAAGTACTAAATTTTACATTTTCAATTCAACAAAAGATAATTTTTCCATCGTACTCATGTTATTTGATAAATAATTGAATTCATTATATTGTAGGATAAGTTTATTAGGTATACTTCAGAATTTAAACAAATCGATTATAGTTGGTTAAGTTGGTTTAACTGTTCTAATCATAAGAATATTAGATGTACCGGTAATAAATGTGTCACATAAAGCTAAATGTAGTTTAAATAACGTTTTGAGTTTTGTGGTATTCAAGGAGTCATAACAATTTTACGTTTATTAATAAAGGAAACGATTTGCTAACTTACACTCCAATTATTAACCTTGGCCCATTTCAAAATGTAGGCTAATCATCAATATTTAGGTATAAGATAGGAGAGTCTGTTTGCAGTTAAAATAACATTTTTCAGCTACGGCTCACTAATTTTCCTTGGGGAAGACTCTTTCAATGAACTATAGCTGATAAAATTAGTTTGTCTCCTTTCTCCTCTTTTTAAAACGTATACGATAACAATATATATTTCAATTTAATTCGCTCGTATTAATAAGTAATGTGATGTAAATGATATCTAAGGGATGTGTTTCTAACCATTATGAAAAACTCACAAAAACGAGTACACAGCAATGATAAGTCTTATTTAGTTACTAGCTGTAACCCGCGGGCTTTGCCCCGTTTAACTTCTTAATTTTCAAGATGATCTCGTTCGCATGGCTCAATCACGTCCTGGTTGAAGTTCGTTCGCTACGCTCAATCACCTTTAGGTTGGAGCTCGTTCGCTACGCTCACTCACCTTTTGGTTGCAAATTAGCTGTTGACATAAATGTAAGAAATAATAGTGCTGCACCCTGTTGGTAATCCTTGTAACTTTAATGCTATTGAACATCATAGAACAGAACCAACTTGTTTAATTGAAACAGCTGTTAAGATTCATTAATTCCATTTATCATAAGGTTAACATGGGAAACTCCAGAGCCACTGGGGCGGAGCCGATTGGACGGATAACGAAATTGATGGTGTATAAACCTATTCCATGAAATTCTACACGTATGTACCAAGTTTCGTGGCAATCGGTTCAGCGGTGTCTGAGTTTATCACTGCCAAACAAATATATATATATACAAACATCCTCTTTTATACTTATAGATTGTATATGTTTAATACTAGGAACTTCACCCATCTTTAGCTACCTAATGTTAACAATTCTTTATAGGCTGTTCCAAAAACGGCTAAAATGGTTTTAGAAATGTTTTTACCTTTCATAAAAAATTAAATCACAACTACGGATTTTAAAATTTGAAGAAAACATTATTCAACATGTTATTTAGTTCATAGCGTAGCTTTTATTTAAATTCAATTTTTAAAAAACGCTCACGCCAATTTTTCGAAAGTCTGTGGTTTAGAGCCCCAGATCAATATTGAAACGGGAATTAACCTTCCCAGGCATATTTTGACTAGATGTCGCAGTGACAGCTTCCAAAATGTTATTAGTATTTAGACACTCTTGCTGAGTTTTATCAAAAGCTTTCACTGAAGACAAATATATATAAATATATTTATTCACTTAAACTTAAAAATGTGCTATCTTTAAATATATAGTGCAATACCCTTACCTCAGAAGACTGAATTCATAAATGGGTTCAAATCCAGAAGATGCAAAATGTTTTGTCATGTGGTAAAACACTAACATTCACACAATACCCCCGCCGCAGCAAACCTGCCGTCTAAGCGAATTTCCATTTGGCCGAATTGATTTTCAATTTATCTATTTAAATAACATTATTAGGTTTAACGAGTACCTAGGTTTGCTGCTACAAGGAAACTAATAAAGTAGTGTGTTTTTTGTAAAATATTGATAGCTTACTATAAAATAAATAAATTTGCCAAGTTTGATCAAAATATATCCGTAAACAAGCAAACTACAACATTTTACAATATTCTCCATAAGAATAACATGGGAATTTTAAATTTCCCATTTTTTTAGTTTTCTCCGTAACCAATAACCGTACAAAAACACTTTGATATACTGAATTGTTTGTTTTTTTTTAAGCTCTTTAAGAAGGTTTAGAGAAAAATTGGGAAATTTTGTGTTTTGAGGGTAAAAAGTGAGAAAAACCAATTTTTACCCCATAAAACCCCCCATAAAACCCTGTTCCCATGGTCCGATCATGCTGGATCGCGAACTCATACAAGTCGTTAACTCATTCAAGTATTATATATAGGTGAATATATAATAATTCACCTATATATATATATATATATATACCTATATATATATATATATATATACATATATAAAAATTTGAACGAATTGTGTTTTTGGCCTCTGGGGACATTAAAATGAAAAAGTAAATCGGTCCCGGGCCTAAGTCTTACCATGAGACCTACGGTAATAGCTACTTCCCTATAGGGAAATTCGCTAAAAACTGTTATATACATTTTATTTTAAATTAAATGAGTAAAGACAAATTATTATATAGTGTTTAATGATTATTAAAATGTATAAAAACAAAAATATGTACACCGAAACAATGTCGCTATGACAACCATAGACGAAAACTAAGCAGAAAAACAAACACAGGTCAAAAGAAATAGTCGCAAAACGGACATCTTCATTGGTTGTCATGAAGCCCAGAATCTGCTAGATACATTGTTGCCGGGATCGTTCGATAGTACCATAGATTAAACATACTCCCTTACGCTATTATAACGAACGAAACAGAAAGCCTGCATCGTTGCCGTGATTACGGTGACTGACACTTCGGCGAAAACGAAGTCGCACTTCGTTGTCGTTTCGAGGTTTAAAAATTCAGTTCATCGACGGATATACGTTGGCTACTTTGGACCTATGGCTCACAATTAACATGTAGAATTCTGAATATCAATAGCTGGTGTTTAAAAATGATTTTAGGGCATCTGAACGGTTTAATACTCTCCTAATAATCAAACGTTTACTGGTTCGATGCTGGTTCCGTAGCTTTTAAGTGGTTCAAAACTGTACTCAGCTGTTTTTGATAATTGAAAATAAATAGTCTTAGCTAGAAACAAAAGATCTAGAAATAATGAAGCTGTCATCTCACCCATTCTTTACTCATCTTCTTAAAATGCACATAATATTGAGGTGTTGGCGTTGTATTGTAATGTAAAACAAGCTGCTATACCCGTGCTTTGCAACGGGAAGAAAATGTGACCTAGAGAGCTAATAAAGTAATTCTGATGTGTGTTTTAAAATACGGCAATTTTATGATTTACTTTGAAAATATAAACTGATTTAAAAGTGTAAACATGCTTACTTTCAAAACCCTACTTTTTATGTTAATAGATTCAAAAGTATCTGACAACATACCTTAGTGTAGCAATAGCATCAATTGCTTCATATTGAAGCTTCACAAATGACATGTTTTACCATAATTCTTCAACTTTAGTCAAGCCTCTTTACATGTAGCTTACTATATAAATTAAAAAATGAAATCTTTGAGCAATTCTTTACAAAACGTATACAACCTTTCTTTAAAACCAAACATAACCCTCCTAAATCAACATAAAGCGTCACAAACATCTTTTTCAAGTAAATAAACAAATACCAGTTCATTGTACTGACCAGCTGTTTCATTAACTAAATTAAATTAAATCATGTAAACCTAGGAAGCATGCCAGGCGTGTAGCACTTTGGAAATCATCCTGTGGGGAAGAGCCCTTAAGAAATTAGTCCATATCAATACTTTTCGGCAAATCTACACACTCTAAGCTTCATTTTGATGTGCCATATGCCTATATTTTTATTTGGTAAATGGCCTTAACCGTTTACATAAAATTTGATTGTATCACTTTAATAATATAATAGATGAGTGACTGATATCAATCTTCTTGCAGGAGGAAGACTGCCTCCAGAATTGAGAGCCACTCAAACTACCTCACCATGCAGACTGGACGGGGAGAAGGAGGTACCTCATGGCCATCAGGTACGTACTTAGCCAACCTAGGCACTGGCGCCCCTCTATACGTCGTTTTAATCCAACATAACCTACGATCCTGCAGCCAATTGTTTACAAATAACATACATTTTGTATTTGAAAGAGCCATTACCTTGAGTGTGATAGAGTGAAATAAAAGTTTTCATCACTAGGACCAAAAGTGGCTTTTTTTGGGAGGCAATCTTGCACCTTGCCGAACTTTGAAATACGATTAAATACCAAAAGAACACTTTCGCTCCGTGTGATGTACAACTAATTTCATCATCCTTTGGAAATAACCCTCTAATTTATACGAAATTATACCACAAAATTTTAGGTTATACATGGTTATACATAGTCGTCATCAATGTTTAATTTCTGTTGTTTACAAATATAACTTAAAAATATTGTGATTAGCAGAGTTTCCATAATGTACTGTTAAAGATTTGAGGATATTGAACCGAAAAATTTACTATATGTTGTTTTTTTTCTGTTCTAAGTTACCCGAAACAATGTATTTTGTCTACCTTAGCTATTTAATTTCGCTAGCTTTTAAGCCCTCAACAAATAGTTGACCCCCCCCCCTCCCCAATATTTCTTGAAACACTGTCTTACGTCGTGGTAAGGACTCGAAAACTTTCATAGTTACTAGTCTTAGTTTTAAAACCAAATAACAATTTAGAAAAGTGTATCCAATTTACACCCCTCCACCAAATCAAACCCCCCTCTAATATTTCTAAGGGGGCCTAGACTAATAATAACTAATAATAACTGGGGACTCCGCCCCCAGCGAGCCAAAGGCGAGTACGTCTATACGTATAAAATGTCGCTATCAATAGAAAACTTAGTTCTCTCAAAAACTGTCAAAGATTCAATGGGAAGTTTGAGATACTCTTTCAAAAGTTAAAACCAAAAATGTATTTAAACTTTTTGTTGTAACTCAAGATTAAATTAATATCAGCATTTTGTTTATAAATTAACCTAAAAAGTTATTGAAACGTGTTCTTAAACTTGGAGTTGACATTTAGGTAGCAGTAAACTAAGTTGGAAACTGTTTACACACGAAGTGTTGCACTCGCCAAAGTCCCAACCACAAACTCACCCCTACACAAGGCTATCTCCTGAACTGGATATTATACGAGGTCATTGTTGATCCGTTGTGCAATACTATAAGTATAATCATCAATTCAATATGTCGTGTGAAATAAGCAGATTTTTCATGATCACGTGAAACCTAAACCGTGATTTTTGCGAGGAGGCTAAGATTGAATTGAAAATGTTGTAGTGATACAATAGTTCAATTGGTGTATTCAATTTTAGTTGTTAAAAACCTATGAGAACGTATTATAGTGCACAAACATGAGTCATTATAACAGAAAGCACAAAAGGTTGTGTAAGTAATTACTTTAAATCCGGTAAAAAAATACAATTTTAGATATATTTCGTAACTTTTTTTTGGATACCGGGTCACTGAGTTGGTTCAAAATATATTTCTAAACTAAAATCAGCTAGGATTGCAAGATTTATAGTTATATGGTCCACCAACTAGCTTCAGGAAGTGAAATATAGCGTCAAGAAGAAGAGTTTTGTCTTCATTATCCGTAGGATTCAACCCTTGTGGTGTTAATCATAGCTTACTTCAGGCTGCATTTACAGTTTTTACATTCAAAATCCAACTATAATGTTATTTTAGACAAACTAGACCTCACTTAGCACTTATTATACCAACTATTATTCCTCTTATGACAGTGCTACATCATAACAGCGATAACAGTACGATAACCGAGGTTATTTTGCATACTTGTTGCAGAAGATTTTTTAAATACATGATGATGAGGTGCATGGTTTTTTCTTAACCCTGGTCAGTTTGGTGTAGTGTGTAGTAGAGTCTGGAGCTTCGGCCCCGAGGTTTCGGGTTCAAATCCCGCCAAACCAAAATTGCTTTAGATGTGATAACGCGACCCACTGGGCCTAGTCTGAGGGGGTCGCCGGAAGACTGTCCCCCGGAAAACTACCCCCCCAAGCAGGTTCCTACGTCATATTGACGTCAGAGACCGGGGGGCAGTTTTCCAGTCACGGACACTCAAATTTAGTTGTCAAACAGTTCTAATCTAACCTAACCTAACCAACCTAACTTGCTGTAACATTTCGAAAATCTGTTTTATATTCACCACATGCCTTTTCTACTATCCAACGGAATTACTAGAATTAAAATTAAAATTACATAGCATGATTTGTCAAGGGGGGGGGTAGTATTCCAGTCGTGGGCACGGCTTCCATATTGGTTAGTTAGAAGATGTTGTGACGTCACGTTTCATCTGGGGGGGTAGTTTTCCGGGGGATAGTATTCCGCATCCCCGTCTGAGGTAATTTGTAAAAGGTTTCCCTTCCACAACCTAACGTCCCAGAATGTGAAGGTAAGACATTTAAAAAGTCACAATAGATTGTAGAAACCCCCTGTCAGTCTTCCTTAACATTACATGACACTAATCCACCACGTAAGACAAATACAATTGATCTCAAGCATTCCGTAGAAACTAATAGCATCATATTTTATCATTACAACCATACTAATTCAATTAAATACCCAGCAGGGGGGCGAGCTGGTCTAGTTGTAAAGCGTGGGGCTTCGGTGCCGAGGTCCCAGGTTCAAATCCCGACAATCACCAATAAATTTCATCTATGTGATAATACCTAAAATCTCTAGATATAGCTTGAAGTAATGTGTAAAACAGTTCCGGACTAGAACTAGCGTCCTAGGATGTGAAGGTGTGACATAAAAAAATTAAATACCCCGTAAAATAACGAAAATATGCATGTAATTCTTCCTTGAATTCGTCTAGGCAACGGTATATCTACAAAACCGACAAGACGGTACAGTGTATTTTGTAACAAACTTTTCTAAGTATCAAATAACAGGAATATCCACGTTTGTTGATGTCAGTCCAACACGAACCTAAGTTTTAGTCCGGGAAACCGAGCTTGTAATAATAGGTTTGATTATGGCCCGTCGCACGCCATGTATACAATGCACGAACCCTCTGATGGGCTCATTGTTATATATGGGCATCGTTGATTATGTTATTGTGTATAGATTGCCGATTTGAGCAATTTTTGACTAATTTAAATCCATTAACTTAGCTAGCGTAGTTTGGATCAAAACTGGTGGGAGTTTTATCCGCAATTCCCAGAAAGTAACTAAAGAAAGCTGGTCTTGAGTTGGTAACAGATAAACTCATTCCACACTCATCATTGTATACTTGGATCAAACAGCTCGTATGCATTTTAATTAGTGATATATATAGCGAAAATATAGACAAGTTGATAATGATAAAATGTTATTTTGGATTTTGTGTATACTCAATGAGTTTAATACAAAACAAAATACAATATTATATCCAATACAATACAACCTCTCGTCATTCTATTTTGTTTTTAATTGACATAAAAATAAATCATTTTTAATTCCTTATATTTAAAACTAGCTGTTTGCCCGTTCTACGTACGGGAATCTTGCAGTAAGTTGAAACCTTATATTCAGAACAGGAGTTGGTTTGCATATTTAGTGTGCATTTTTCCAGATATGCTACCAAAACTACTACTGTGTAGGAATACATATAAACCTTCGCAAATACAATATCTGACAGTTTCAAAGCCAAAACGTGAATGTAAACATATCAGTGACAGCTAGAAGTGAGAACTAATCCAAACAGCTGATCGTTATTTCATCAAATGTAATAGGAAACATTGGGAGAAAATTTGACAAAAATCAAACAAAATTGGGTTTTTGATGGTTCGTTTTTTTTGTTTTCAAAGAAGCCAGGCCATGTTTTTATAGCCCAAGACACTCTCACCAATCCAGTAAATACAGAAAAACGATTAGAACCTTGATCGGTACTCTAGTTTCCTAGGAGTAGGCCGCGTAAAATGACAATTTGGCGTTACAGACAGAGTCACAGAATGGACAGACAGATATACAGACAGAAATTGAGATAAGACTCGTTTCGGCTTTCTTAGTCTATGAAACGTAAAAATAACAAAAAACTGCATGATTCTAAGCAATGTACAGACAAAACTGTAATTTTATTTATATAGAAGATATTTAACTGATTACACTTGAGTTATAACTAATTACTGTATAGTAAAAGTCCAAAGGTGGACAATTTTAGGGGCACATTTCAACATTTTCCTGTAATTACTTCTTTTAATCAATTATTTGTAAACATAATATACCCAATACATGAATATACGTATTCAATAAACAGCCATACCAAATTAGTTTGCTGATTATTATTTTGTAATAGATCATACAAAACTCCGCTCCGTTGTTTAAACAGCTTATGTAAGGTACTTGATTTTCATATCGCTTCTGATCGTAAATTTTGACATGAAATTGTAAAATTTTAACTACTTCTAAACAGAAACAAACTTGCATTAAGCTATTAATAAGTAATTTCCCGGGAATTGAAGTAAATTTCAAACTTTTTCGTGTGAGAGGTGAATATTTTAACCTATAAATACACGTTAGAACTTTAAGGACGAAATATTCGTCTCTCTCAAATCCCAAACATGTTCAAACTCGTCATGTGGAACACGTTTCCTCGCTCACAATTTATTTCAACTACGTACGATGTATACATCACGATACATTGATATCCATATGTAAAAACTTTGTTGACAATAGCAGAACCTGTGTAATAATAGCTTCCTATCGAGTGTGTCGCAAATTGTGATGAGTTGTTTTATTTAAAAAATTAATAATACCCATGGAACGTAATGAAGATGACTCTTTATTCTGTGATAGCAGTTATTTTTAATTGGACTCCCTCTGTGAGATTGAACTCCTTAGGAAAAACCTTATGGTCGGTACAGTTGGTACTTGTACACAAATCATTTTTATATCAGCTGTCCTTCCACCATGACTAATTCCAGTATCTAGATCATTTAAAAAACATATTTTTTTATATATCAGACTTCTCCTTTCCTATTCCTTGTGTAGGTAACCTCAG